ACACACACACACACACACACACACACACACACACACACACACCAACCCCAGCCTGACCCCTTTTTTTCTTTATTTGTTTTCAATTTTTGCATCTTATTTTTTTTAAAACACCCAATTTCCCGACACAAACCCGAAAAACATTTCTCAAAAAATACAGAACAACTCAGCGACCATGTCCCTCATGATAAACAATGACAAAAAAAGAATCCTGCTTTTCGTTATATTTTTTTAATAATTTGTTTGAATCGAAATTCGTTTTTCAATTTTAAAAAATCTTAAACGAAGTCCGATTCCAAAATAAAAAATATACGATTGTAGGGCTTTCCAAGCTACAACCCTGTATTTTTTTATTGTTTTTTTATGTATTTTTAGGGATATAAAAAAAATATTAAAAAAAAGGCCGCGGCCGTGGCCGACTTTTTCGGCCACGGCGGCCGAATTGCCCACGGCCTAGGCCGCGGGTGTCACATAGCACCCAATTATGTACCATACAGCCACAGAAAGGTGCACTGCACGAGGAAGAGCTGCTTACACAGGATAGCGGAGATGGGAATATTGCACCCTGAAAAAGGAAAAGGTAAAAGTTCTATTTTCTTTATAAGAAAACAAGCTTAGGGAAAAAATTGTGACGTTCACTATTGAAATACCATCTCCACTTTCGCCGGCAATCAACTCTTCCTGGAGCCTGGTTCCATTAGCAAAGACTCCAAGAGGTTGGATGTAATTCCTGAATCTGGACATGTTTGTGGAAAGATGCAGGAAATTGGGATTGATCTGCTTTTCTTTATCTCTGCAAAACACTTCTAGTCTTCTAGATCCAGGAATCAAATCCAATCCTCTTTGCTAACAGGACCAGGTGCCAAGCCCCATTAGCAGCGTGGAGTTTCCTCAAGGCCTGAATCTGGACGTGTTTGTGGAGATGTAGAAATTGCGTCCAGTTTCCTCAACTGCACATAGCCGCAAACATGTCCAGCTTCAGGGGATGAAGAAACTCAACGTTGCTAGTGGGACTTTGGGCCTCGTTCGACACCACTTGAACTCGAGGGTTGCCGGAAAATTCTTCGTTCCACCCCTCCCATATGACCCCGCCGTAATGTTTTCACTTTCCTGCTCTCAAGTGTGCATACTTGAAACTCAAGTGTGGTTGGGGCAAAATCGCACTTGAACTCAAGGTACCTCAAGTGCCAGCGGATACCGCCAGCACTCCAAGTGGGGCTTTTTTTGGTTTTTCTTTTTTCCCAGCAGATGATCCTGGTCCAGGATTGATCAAGCCGTGAAGTTGGGTTCAAGTGCAGCCTGTTCAAGGGTTTCCTCAGGTGTACATGGAACCATAAATGGAGTAGGTGTAAATTAATCACGATTTCTTGTCTTTGTGCACTTGAAATCGAAGTATTTTCGAGTGGTGTCGAACAAGGCTCTTGGCCTTTGGGTGAAGGGCCTTGCGCTGCACACTCCACAGATGTGAAAACTTGCTAGTACATAGCTCCTTCTGAGTTTTCTTTTTCTTCCTTCCCAAAACCCATTCTCTCATTGCATTGAAAAGATATGAGAGAACAATGTAGCTTAGTTACAAACTAAAAATACAGAATAAAAATAAAAAATCGGGCCCAGGGACCTCACAATTCTTTTTTTTTTTTTTTTTTTTTTTAACTTCGTATTTGGGAAACCTACTTAGCGAGGTGATAAGAGCATCCCCGGTAAGTATGCACCCGGCGTCAAAGGCTCCATCTATTGGTGGGGAGCTGCACCTGCTGGAAATCGGGTCCAGCGTCCCTATACAATGATGTGATGTGTGTGTGTGAGCTGGAAATCGGGCCCAGCATTCCAGTACAACGATGTGTGTGAGCTGAAAATCGGGTCCAGCATCCTCACAATTCAACCCGGAGTTATCCTGGGAGCTAGTTTGGCTTAGGGCCTCACCACACCACTCTTGAGACCCTGAAATGCTTCAAGAGCTGTCAGACCTTTTCAAGAGTCAAGGTTTTTTAGTGTTTACGCTGCGCAGCTGCGGTACAAGGCGGGAGCGGATGATGCG